CCGAACCTGTTTACTCTGCTCCGAGAGCTGCTGCGCCAAGGTGCCGGCGGAACCGCTGCGCCGGCCACGAGAGTCGTGCTGGCCACCCGTGTGTTTCCTCCACTGGGGGATCTTCTTCTCCGTGAGCGACCAGAATTTGTCTGAAAGTGTAGTGTCCTCTAGTTCTCCGCTCCTTCCCTGAGAGCTGCAATCCCGGGATGTTAGTGATCGGCCATCTTGGATCGTTCTCCTCAGTAATATGTTTCTTAATACTCTTGATTCACTGTTATTCTTCCACCAAGCCACACCCACAACCTCATGGTAAATTTCTATGCTCAATTAACTGATGAAGAAATTCAAGTTTAATTTACCAATGTACCTCATGTGTTGAGGTCAGATGTGGACAGATGCAGTTTTATAAACCCAAGTAGCAGTTTTATAACACTATCATAATCTTTAATTGTTCTCATGTAATCTGACTTTTCATTAGATTTTAAACTTTTTTTTTTCTGATGGACTTTTGCTCTTGTTGCCCAGGCTAGAGTGCAATGGCATGATCTTGGCTCTGCAACCTCTGTCTCCTGGGTTCAAGCAATTCTCCTGCCTCAGCCTCCCAAGTAGCTGGGATTACAAGCATCTACCACCACACCTGGCTATTTTTTTTTTTTTTGTATTTTTAGTATAGATGAAGTTTCGCCATGTTGGCCAGGCTGGTTTAGAACTCCTGACCTCAGGTGATCCACCGCTTCAGACTCCCAAAATGCTGGGATTACAGACGTGAGCCACCACACTATCCAGATTTTAAACTTCTTGATGGAAGGATTACTCTATCATGTGTAGTGAAATGGCAGCTTGGGGAAATCCTCCCTGTTGACAGGGATGATACTTCCTATCACTATCCCATTTAACTTATATCAGACTTTACAGGAAAAAATAATGAATCTTAGAGAATGAGAATAGATTATTTTAATGTTAATCAGATGATGCCAATTGTAGCTGCTCTTATACATGCAGTTTCTCTACTGGAGAAAATTTAACACAGCCTCACTACTTTGGATGCATCTATTGATCTAACAAATGCTTTTATCTCTATCCAGTAAGTAGAGAAGCTTTCATATGGCAGAAGAAGCAGTACACTTTCACCATCTTCACTGTGACATAAATTCTTCTGTTTTTTTGAGACGGAGTCTCGCTCTGTTGCCTAGGCTGGATTGCAGTGTCATAATCTTGGTTCACTGCAACCTCTGCCTCCCAGATCAAAGCAATTCTCCTGCCTCAGCCTCCTGAGTAGGCTGGGACTATGGGGGCTATAAAGGCATATCACCAAACCCGGCTCATTTTTGATAATTTTAGTAGAGTCAGGGTTTTACCATATTGGCCAGGCTGGTCCTGACTTCAAGTGATCTGCCCAGCTGGCCTCCCAAAGTGTCCATGTATAATCCCATTACAGGCGTGAGCCATCGTGCCCAGCCCAACTTTTCTTTATGCTGTAATTTAGTCTGTGGGTCCCTTCATTATCTCACCATCCCATGGTTCACCCCACATTCACTGAATTGATGATCTTATGCCTGTACACCAGTTATTTCTCCTACATGTTTCCCTTAATAAACAATAGTCCAAAAGGCTTGGTATGTATACTAGCTGGTTGTTTATCTCTGTTTGCTATTCACTGGACTTAGGGCTTTAAAAATCCTCTTTTGCATGTTATTTAAGTAGATTTTAGGAAGGGAGTACAAGCAGATGAAAGCTTTAAATTAATCATTATTATCTAGAGGTACCCAACATTCCATGAAAAGAGTGGCATATTCTAGATTGTTCCTATTTGCATTACTCCATGTATAATAGATTGAGGTCTCAGGGCTGACCCAAAGCAGTACTGAACACTAGCAGTGCTAAGCACACTTGTAAAACTTAAGAGTGCCAAGTGGGATGGTTCAGTAGTCCTTGGTGTTGCTAAATATATATTGAATGCAGGAGTTGCTGGAACATGCCTTGCTCTTTCTTGTGTCTGTGCATTCCTCCAGGAGTGTCCATCTGGCCAACCCCTCTTCCTTTTCAAAGCCCAAGTGCTGCCTTCTCTGCAGATGTCCCTCACTTCCTGGGGCCAACAGATGTTGGAGTTGCTTCTCCTGTGCATCAGCATTAAACAAATCAACGTAACCATTTGTAGTTGTTACTTTGAATATCTGTTTCTTTATTACATTTTAAGCTTCTTGAGGGCAGGATTGTGCCATTATAACTGTATCCTCTGCACCAGTGTAAAATGCTCCATGAAATATTATTTGAGTGAAAGAATGCGAGGCATGAGGAAGCCATAAGATCAACAAGACATGAAGTATGCCCTCAAAAAACTTATACTCTAGTGAGAGAGAGTATGCATATGAAAATATATACGGTAGTATGTACCAAGTATCATAACAGGGATGAAAATAAAATTCTTTGGGGTCAAAGGAAGGAAGCAATTCCATCCAGCTGAAGGACACTTAGAGATATTACAAATATCTAGGATGTCACATTTGAAAGATTATGATGGGCCAGGTGCGGGGGCTCATACCTGTAATCGCAGCACTTTGGGAGGCCAAGGCAGGTGGATCACCTCAGGTCAGGAGTTCGAGACTAGCCTGGCCAACATGATAAAACCCCATATCTACTAAAAATACAAAAATTCGCTGGGCATGGGGGCAGATGCCTATAGTCTCAGCTACTTGGGAGGCTGAGGTGGGAGGATTGCTTGAGCCCAGGAGGCAGAAGCTGCAGTGAGCTGAGATTGCCCCACTGCGCTCCAGCCTGGGTGACAGAGTGAAACTCTGTCTCAAAAAATAAATAAATAAATAAACAAAGATTATGATAGAAACAGTGAAAGTGAAAAAAAACTAGAACCTTCTAGATTAAAATAAGAAGAACACGAGCTAAGTCTATAGACAGGAAAGCTTAGGATACAAGTAGGGAAGAGAAAGATGTTCAGTCAAAACTGGTATATGCAATGAACATTTTATAATAGTTTTGGGGCCTTGAACAATACGTGAAGTGAGCATAAATGCCTAACGTCATGATAATGTATATTAATTTATAGAATGCCTGAACATATCTGTGTTCTAAGTCAACATACAACACCCTATTTAGCTCAGAATAAAGTTGAACTATAAATTAATATACCATTTTAATTGTTTTTATATTAATTTTTATTTAAAAAGCAATATATGTGCCTTCGTAGAATATTGAGAAAACTGAAATTTTCAATTACATGTAACATTCTATTATGTTATCTCATTTTTTAATATATCATCCCAGGAACATTTCCCCAGGACATCAACTACTGTTCTAAAGCACGATCTCTAATGGGCTGGCTGCATATTGCACTATTGTATGGATATACCAAAATGCCTGTAACCAATTCTTTACTGTTGGAAAATTAGATGAGTACAATATTTTTGTTATAAATAATGACATACTGAACATTCATATGTATAACTTTTTGCCCTGATCTGATTATCTTACTATAAATTTCTCTAAATGGAATCTCTTAATCAAAGAATAAAAAGGTACTTTTTTTCATATATATTGACAAATTGCCCTCCCACTGGCACTCTTGCCAGCTATGAATGAGAAGGTCTGATTCCCTGACTATTAATAAGACTGAGTATAACAATTTTTGAAAAATCTTTGCTAAATTTAATAGATGAGAAATGGTACCTCACTAAAAAGTTTTAGATTTCCTTGATGAATAGGGAAGGATAAGCATGTTTTCTTAGGTGTATTGGTCATTTCCTTCTCCTCCTGCCTTCAAAAAAAAAAAAAAGAGAGAGAGGGAGATGGGGTATCACTCTGTTACACAGGTTGGAGTGCAGCAGCATGATCTCTGCTCACTGCAGCCTCCACCTCCTGGGCTCAAGTGATCCTCCCACCTCAGCCTTCTGACTAGCTGGGATGACAGGCTAGGTTAATTTTTGTAGTTTTTGTAGAGACGGGGTTTCGCCATGTTGGCCAGGCTGGTCTTCAACTCCCGAGCTCAAGTGATCTGCCCGCCTCCACCTCCCAAAGGGCTGGGATTACAGGCATAAGCCACCGCACTCAGCCTCCTTCTCTTTTTTAATGATTTGCTTTCCATGTTCACTGGAATGTAAGGTGAGGCTCCTTTTGTGTGTGTGCTTTGTCCAATGCTGTAGTTTTAGCAATGGCGGGGTCCACAGTCTGGATTTATGAAAGTTTTTTTGAATGAATATATTTACTAATTGGATGTTAACTTTTTTTTTTTTTTTTGAGATGGAGTTTCGCTCTTGTTACCCAGGCTGGACTGCAATGGTGCGATCTCGGCTCACCGCAACCTCCGCCTCCTGGGTTCAGGCAATTCTCCTGCCTCAGCCTCCTGAGTAGCCGGGATTACAGGCATGTGCCACCATGCCCAGCTAATTTTTTGTATTTTTAGTAGAGACAGGGTTTCACCATGTTGACCAGGATGGTCTCGATCTCTTGACCTAGTGATCCACCCGCCTCGGCCTCCTGAAGTGCTGGGATTACAGGCCTGAGCCACCGCGCCTGGCCTGGACGTTAACTTTTTAAAAAAATGTTATTGTAAATTCTTCATAGATAGATATAAAAGTTATTAATTCTGGCAAATAGTTTAATATCTCATTTCTTTTTTAGTTTTGTTTATGGTACTTTTTTGTCAAAGGGAATCTCTCAAACGACTGCGATTTGATATTCAACACTTAAAAGTCCCATTTTAGTCTTTTTCAAGTTTGAAAAAAAACCTATTGGTATTCTGATTCGAATTTTGTTTAATAAATAGATAAATTGTGGAGGCAATATTTTTATAATCACGAATATTTCCATCTAGAAACATGTTCATTTAAATAAAATCCTTATGTATCCCAGTTTTGTAGCTGTCTTCACGTAGTGTCAGAACAACCCTTTATCTTTATTCCTACACTTTTGTTGTCAATATTTGAATGGGATCCTTCTCCACTAGAGTTTTTTTATTTTATTTTTTTGAGACAGTAATCAGTTTCCAGATTACTTACCCATGTGGGTTTCTTTCCAGCTCGTTTAAAAGTGTATGATCACAGTATTCAAACACTAAATGCATTTTCCTTTTTCTCCTGAACACCTCAATGAGGTTCACAAGATTTGGATGTTTTAATTGCTGTGAAAGAATTGAAAAGCAAAGTTTAGTGATCCATTACTAGTAAGAGCTTCTCCTCAGACCCCTGAGGAGGGAGAAATTTAAGATTCATCTAATGGTCCTATAATAAGTGGTAACAAGAGGACCTGAATCTCTCTGGTGTAATAGCAAGTAAAGCATGTAACTTAAAATACTGTACTAAAACAAAAAACACTTTATGTATTTTATGGAAATTCTATATATTCAAGTCACAGAATAACCTGAGTAGAAAATTGAGGAAATGGAATTATTGAGTAAAGACTATAAAATCATCAATACCCACTCAGCTTACATATTACTATGGATTTTACGTAAATGTCACATGGATTTAAACTCAGTCTGGATTCTAGTGTTGGCTCCCACTAATACTAGATCCCAACTTTAAAATTGGATTAAACTGTCTATTCTAGAAGTCCCCACAGTTAGTCTGTGTTTTACATTTATTATATTTTCAGCATTTTTCTTTGATTCTATCGCTCTCTCTTGTGCATAGATATTTTTGTGTGTTAAATTCTGTTCCCAAACTGAAGCATTTCACAAGATAGCCTCTTGGAAACCAAGAGGAAAATCCAAGGAAAAATGCTGATTAGGTAGGATAGTCCATCACTACAGCGATTATATAATTTTATCCTCCAAACTAGGGTAATGGGTAGAAGCCAGGACTATCCTAGGCAAATCAGCACATATGGTCACTCTGCCTATAACTAGGGTAACCATATAATTTAGCATACACACCAGGACACTTTTTTTTTCTTGCTCTGTCACCTAGGCTGAAGTGCAATGGTGTCATCTTGGCTCACTGCAACCTCCGCCTCCTGGGTCCAAGCAATTCTGTGCCTCAGCCTTCCCAGTAGCTGGGACTACAGTGTGTGCTATCATGCCTGGCTAATTTTTGTATTTTTAGTAGGGATGGAGTCTCACCACATTGGACAGGCTGGTCTCAAACTCCTGACCTCAAGTGATCCACCTGCCTTGGCTTCCCAAAGTGCTGGGATTACAGGCGTGAGCCACCACATCCGGCCACACCAGGACACTTTTGAAAGGGGATGTGAACCAGGCAGGACACTGGGACCAAAACTATAAGGCAGAACTGTCTTGGGCAAATCAGGATACATGATCGCTCTATTCCTAACCCATCTTCCCTTTCCTGTTGTTTTCCCAGCATAGTAGACAAATCAACTATCCAAACTGTCTACCATTTACCCAGAAAGATATATAGGTAAAGAGGGCTCCGGTCAGCATTTTCATATAGTAGAAGCTCAACAAACAGCAGGCCCAGTAGAAAGTGTTAGGTACAGAGACTAACAATGCATGCCTCTACCTCAGTACCTATTCACGTAAGCATGGCTTGACCAAAACAAATGTCACCTACAACTGTGTGCCTGCTGCTCAACAGCTTGGGAAAAGACAATCCATTACACATTAAAATATGCCCAGGCTGAGGCAGGAGGATTGCGTGAACCTAGGAGTTTGAGATCCACCTAAGCAACATACTGAGACCCCATTTCTCTAGAGAAAAAAAAAGAGAAAAGCCCAAGGTACCAAACCAATTAGCTTTCCATGTGCTCCACTGCCTAAAAGAGCAGACAGGCAGAGTGGAGGAGACTAGGTCATCCAGGAAGCCAGCGGCTTTGTGCTGCCGCAAAACCACACTATGGAAGCAAAGCAGGGTCTCTATTAGGGGAGTAAAAGATTTACAGATGCTGGCTGGGTGTAGTGGCTCAGGCTTGTAATCGCAGCACTTTGGGAGGCTGAGGCAGGTGGATCACGGGGTCAGGAGTTCGAGACCAGCCTGGCCAGTACAGTGAAACTCTGTCTCTACTAAAAATACAAAAATTAGCTGGGTGTGGTGGCAGGTGCCTGTAGTCCCAGCTACTCGGGAGGCTGAGGAAGGAGAATTGCTCGAACCCAGGCGGCAGAGGTTGCAGTGAGCCGAGATGGCGCCACTGCACTTCAGCCTGAGTGATAGAGACTCCGTATCAAAAAAAAAAAGAAAGTCACACAGCTTGGTTCAGACCCACCCTGCAGCTTAGCTCAGTGGGGGTACCAGAGGTGGCCAGCTGACCGGCGCCCTCTTCTGGCTAAGAGGTAATAGTGAACTGGTTTTTATCATGATGGATGTGTTCCTGAAGACTCTACGTATCACTACGTTTTAAACAGAACCCTTGTGTGTATTAGTTGAGGAAACCTGCTGGAAATAATGTTTGAAAATGAGAGATAATTTGATAATTATTAGTGACAAATTTATCCCCCCTTACAAACTGAATTTCTGGGGATTTTCTAAAACCAGATGATGTGTCAAAAATGAAGGTCGCCTGTGTGTCCTTGAAATCAGAGGTCTTGTTACATAATGTGTAGCCTACATACCAGCAGCTTCTGCACTCTCAGGCCCACCCCAGACCTCCCGACTCAGAATCTGCATTTCAACAAGGTCCCGGGGATTCCACTGCATATACACATTTGAGAAGTGCTGTCCTAGACCTCCGTTTTCTCTGCAGAAAATAAGGGTGTTGGATAAGAAGCATCTCTAAGGTTGCTTATAGTTCTAAAAGTGTAAGATTTTTAGAGTAAGAAAAACTTTACATTGAGAACTTAAGAATCTTACGTGTCAAATCTTATCACAGTGAAAACAATTATAACAAAAACCTTAATGTAAAAAACGTGTAAGTCACTGGGGGTGATATTCAATATGTCTAAGAACCTGGGTGCAGAGCAGGCAGGAACCAATGTTGATGCCTTAACATCAACTGCACTGGGACGGTCCTGTGGGACTGACTGACTGACTCTGTGCCAGGAGGTGCTTTTTTAGCTGCTGGTTGGTAGGGGAAGTATTTGGAGGGATATCCAGAGGAGGGCCAGGATTGGGGGTGAGTTAGACACCGGGGTGAATGAACTTACGATATTTATTAACCAGAATGAAAGTTCTTTGCAATATGATCTATAGCTGTATTCATACCTATCAGAAAAAATTAGAATGGTCAAAGTCCAAAGTGATGATCAACTTATTACCCAAAGGTGCTGATGCAACAGAATTTAAGTCCAGTGGAGAAAAATAACTTTAAAATTCTCTGTAATTTTAGCATGCATAGTTCACTCAATACCATGATACTTCATATATGTATATACATAAAGTTAACCTACCTTCAACATACGTATTTCTCTTAGTGCTATTTTCTTAACGACAGGATCATCTTCAGATTCTACAAATTTTTTAATAGCTACTACTTGTCCAGAGGTTTTGTTTCTGCATTTGAATACAACTCCATAAGACCCTTCTCCAATCTTAGCTAATTTTTCATACTTTTCCATTACAGCTGAAGTGATTTAAATTATTATTGTATTGATTGACTTGCAGCACAGTGTTGCACCTGGAAAATAAGATAGACTTACCTTAATCAAGCTATAAAAGACAATGTTCTCACAGTTTACATACAACCAATTTGCCTAGATGCCAAAGGTTTATTTTCATCAATTAATTGGAAATCCACTTAAAATATCTGGATATTATTTTGTCCATTTAGTTTAGTTCTCTGCAGTTCTTCCAGCTATCAAAGGATTTCATATGCTATTTATGACAATGGGTCTATGTTTACTTCTGTCGAATTAAAAGAATTTATGGAAAGGAAACTTATCCTATCTATTGTTTTCATTATCCTCAAGTAAATAACTGAAATATGATGATGTAAAATCCAGCTGAAAGAACATTTCATACTCTGGAATATGCTGTTTATCTTTTCCCTTCTAACCCAAGTGCATGCACAATGACTAGGAGGAGTTGTGTAAGAAGACATGGTACAAAAAGTGCTATACTCCCACCTGGTGGAGAGAAGAAAAAGAAAATGTGGGTGGTTAAACAAAGCAGTCTTTAAAAACAGTAACAGGCCAGGTGCCCTGGCTCACTCAGCACTTTGGGACGCTGAGGTGGGCAAGTCACCTGAGGTTGGGAGTTCAAGACCTGCCTGACCAACATGAGAAACCCCATCCCTACTAAAAATACATAATTAGCTGGGCGTGGTGGCGCGTGCCTGTAATCTCAGCTACTTGGGAGGCTGAGGCAGGAGAATCCCTTGAACCTGGGAGGTGGAGGTTGCGGTGAGCTGAGATCGTGCCATTGCACTCCAGCCTGAGCAACAAGAACAAAATTCCATCTCAAAATAAATAAATAAATAACAGAATCCTTTTAGAATGTGTTTTGCCCTTAGTTTTTATTTGCATGGAAGAACAGATTCTTAAGTTCTTAGCCCCAAAAGACAATAATGATAAGCACACACAAAATCCATTCATTCTCCATGACTGCTTTCACATCTATAGTGGTTTCTATGGAATTACTGGGTTTTTCTATTTTGTGTCATTCATTCTTGAATTTTTTGGTGATCAAATTAAATGTTAAATGATGAATAAGGCCAACATACTTAAATAAATCAGTCTAAGAATTAAAAGTAAAAAAATTATAATTTGTCTCAAAAATCCTACCTCACTTTATCCAGCAGAATCTTGTTAATGTAACCTAATAATGATTATAATAATAATGGCACTTAACACTGTTCTATGCAAATTACATATAATCTGCACAAATATTCTGTGAAGTAGGTGTTATTTTTATTCAATTATACATATTAGAAAATTAAGACACAGTGAAGGTAATATAGAATTAGAGCCCAGGCAGTGAGATTTCAAAGAACACAATTTTAATCACTACACTACACAGCCTCTCAGTTAAGTTCAAAAGAATGCATAATTCAGCCAGGCGAGTTGGCTCATGCTTGTAATCCCAGCACTTTGGAAGGCTGAGGCAGGTGACCTGAAGTCAGAAGTTTGAGACCAGCGTGGCCAATATGGTGAAACCCTGTCTCTACTAAAAATACCAAAAGATTAGCTGGGAGTGGTGGCACAGGCCTGTAATCCCAGTTACTTGGGAGGCTGAGTCAGGAGAATTGCTTGAACTTGGGAAGTGGAGGTTGTGGTGAGTTGAGATTGCCCCATTGCACTCCAACCTGGGTGAGAGAGCAAGACTCCATCCCCAAAATAAAAACAAAAACAAACAAACAAAATGCATAACTCGAAGAACCACTTTATCCAGACCTTGGTAAAACAAAACGCCAGGTTAAAGAGTTGACTACTTGTAAAATTTCTCTTGTTTTGAATGAGTACATATTTTTTTTAAACTTCTCTAATATTGTCTTTTCCATCTACAGATGATCTCAATGGTGAAAGAAATTGACTACTTCCACTTGCCACCATAAAAGTATACAATGGAGAAAAATGTTTACCTGGATAAAATGACAATTGACATACTATTGTTTACAGTGTTGCTTTTTTTGGTATAAATTAGACTTCTTCTCTTATTAAAGAAAGAAAATTCAAGAATACACACTCAAGTAACACATAAAAAATCCATCACAGATTTTGTTCTGAAAACCCTGTTAGTTATACTGTATTTTTACCTATGTATTATTATTTTAAAGATATTTAGATGAGAGTATGCATACATTTGCATAGTAATAGATGGCTGGAAAGAGAGTAGGAGAAACTGGGAATTTGCCAAAGTTATTGGCATCCTGTAATCCCAGCACTTTGGGAGGCTGAGGCGGGCAGATCACGAGGTCAAGAGATCGAGAACATCCTGGCCATCATGGTGAAACCTCGTCTCTACTAAAAATACAAAAAAATTAGCTGGGCATGGTGGCGTGCGCATATAGTCCCAGCTACTTGGGAAGCTGAGGCAGGAGAATTGCTTGAGCCTGGGAGGTGGAGGTTGCAGTGAGCCGTCATGCCACTGCACTTCAGCCTGGCGCCTGGTGACAGAGTAAGACTCTGTCTCAAAAAAAAAAAAAAGTTATTGGCATCTGGCTGGGAGAATTGGCTCATGCCTGTAATCCCAACACTTTTGGAGGCCAAGGTGGGAGGATCACTTGAGCCTAGGAGTTTAGGTTACAGCGAGCTATGATTGTGCCACTACACTACTTCCTGGGTGACAGAGTGAGACCCTGTCTCTAAAATAAAACAAGATGAAGTTATTGGTATAAAACTTTATATATTTGTTGATTTAACCTACTTGATAAGTACTATAGTCACAGGGGGAAACTATAAATATGACCAAAATCTTAATTATGAAGTTTTAATTTATGCATTCTTTTCTTTTTTTTTGAGACAGCATCTCATTCTGTTACTAGGTTGGAGTGCAGTGGCGGGATCTCGGCTCACCGCAACCTCCAACTCCCTGGTTCAAACGATTCTCCTGCCTCAACCTCCTGAGCTGGGATTATAGTTATGTGCAACCATGCCCAGCTAATTTTTGTATTTTTAGTAGAGTCAGGGTTTCACCACGTTGGCCAAGATGGTCTCGCTCTCCTGACCTTGTGACCCACCTGTCTTGGCCTCCCAAAGTGCTGAGATTACAGGTGTGAGCCACCGTGCCTGGCCTATTTTCTTATTTCCCTGTAGGTAGTTGATTTGATCTATTGATTTATGTTTTTTCTTTTTTCTCAGCAGATTCAGTAATGACTGATTCCTCAGACTAATATTTAGATCTGGCAATCACATTGACCGAACTGCTAAATGCAATAAAATAAAGCTCCAGAAAACAGTACTTCAGCTGGTAACCTCTCAATATTTCTGTTTTCAAAAGCCCTACTATACATTCACGGAAAATGGGTTTGAGTACGCAAACAGGAATTAGACCAAGGCAGAAATTCCACAAAGGAATTTGCAGCTCTAATTCTGGCTTACTAGGACTCTAACAGAATTTCTGGAGGTTCTAATTCCTAATCTCTTATCTGAGATTCAACTATCCAACTGCTTGATGAACATCTCTACACGGATGGACAGAATCATCTAAAAATGGGAACATTCTAAACCAAATGCCTTCTCTTCTTTCTTTTTTTTTTTTCAGATGGGATTTCACTGTTGTTACCCGGGCTGGAGTGCAATGGCGCGATCTCGGCTCACCGCAATCTCCGCCTCCTGGGTTCAGGCAATTCTCCTGCCTTAGCCTCCCGAGTAGTTGGGACTACAGGCATGCACCACCATGCCCAGCTAATTTTTGTATTTTTAGTAGAGATGGGGTTTCACCTTGTTGACCAGGATGGTCTTGATCTCTTGACCCCGTGATCCACCCACCTTGGCCTCCCAAAGTGCTGGGATTATAGGCATGAGCCACTGCGCCCGGCTGCCTTCTCTTCTTTCTTATCCTCTGTCCACACCCAAAGTTCACAAACATGCTCCACGTTATGCCTAAATGGGTTGTCAAGATACGTGTGGTGGGGAACTTTGAGGTAGCCAAGGACACTGACAGCTGCCTAAACCTAATCTCTTCATACATCTTCCACAAAGCAATACAAATCAACCACGACAAATAAAACCGCACAAATCCAAAGACTTCAATATAACAAGAAGACAGAGGGCTCTAAAAACTTAGGTAGAAAAGCAAAGCAAAATTCTGGACGGGATATCTCTTGAGCTCCCACTAGAAACCTTGGCAGAAGGCAAAGATATGAGTGGGCTGAGATCTACAAAAACTGTAAGAAAGACAGAAGAGGAAAAGAAGGGCCTAAGAAAGACTTAAGATCACCTCCTTCCCAAAGAGAAAACACATCACAAGTGTAAAAATACTCTAAGAGTGTCCTGGTAGATCAGAGCATTCACTACAAGGAAGGGGTTTAAAAGTATATGGGTATCAAGGTGGCAGTAGTCAGTATGGCACTGTTTTTGGGGAATAGAAAGATAAGAGAGAAGAGAAAGGCACCTGCTAGAGACTGGACAGTAAAGGAAAAAAGAAGTAAGAGGGATAAACTTGGCATCTTGCAAAACAAAAGAGAATTTTGAATTGAAGGACATGTGAATCTTCCTGTCATCAGGAAGATGGGGGAAAAGTGTCATTAATGAAAGAAACTGCATTTTGCTATGGTGGCAGAAAAGACTCTCTTGGCCTAGAATGACAGTCAGTTACTAACAGCCAAAACCTGCCTGAGAAATGAAACAGTGGAAAACAGTCCCCATACTAAATATCACTGGAAGAAAAAAAACCAATGAAAATCTAAAAATTTCAGTTAATGAAAATCATTTACAAAAAAAAAAAACAAAATCTAACCAGAAAGCAAAAAAACAAAAAACAAAAAACTGACAACGAACTCTCCAAACTGATTTAAATATCCTCTCACAATTTGGAGATATGAAAAGCCACTCTGAATCAGAAATTCAAATAGTAAAATCACAAGTAGACAAAAATTGTTTAAGAAGATATATCTGGCCGGGCATGGTGGTTCATGCCTATAATCCTAGCACTTTGGGAGGCCGAGGCGGGTGGATCATGATGTCAGGAGATCGAGACCATACTGGTCAACATGGTGAAACCCCGTCTCTACTAAAA